ACATTCTTGAAGTCTAACTAGCTGGTCCGTCTCTTCTGGTTTAATCGACAGATACAGTTGAGTATCGTCTGCATAACAATGGAAGTTTATGCAGTGTTTCCTGATAAGATCGCCCAAAGGAAGCATATAGAGGGTAAAAAAAATTGGTTCAAGTACAGAACCTTGTGGGACTCCGTGACCAACATTGGTGGTCTTCGAGGATTCACCGTTTACAATCCTACTTATCGGATCGATTCATAACTGTCAAATATTTCATTGTTAATATTATAACATTAACTAATATGTCTGTGTGTAAAACAAGGAAACGATTCTTGTCTCAACTGTATCAAATATTTTTAATGTTCTTTTTTTTTTTCCAAAACCGATTATTTGGCATCCCATGCGCAAATTTGGCTATAGAAACCGGGGTGAGGTGGGTCAGGTGCTGGGCGGGGGGGGTGCTGTCAGTCCGCTGGTGCTCTCTCCCGGTGCGGTCGGGTCCATGTCTCCACTGAGAAAGGATCCTTCCACCGACCACCGGAAGAACCGACCACCAACCAATGCAACCTGCCCCTCCGAAGAGGTAACCTGCCACCGACCACCGGAACCTGCCTTCCTCACGAAGGAAGCTACCACCGACCACTTTTCGCACTCGGCGTCACTCTAATCCGAAGCGCCTTATACTGTATATATATGGATCAATTGGTTAACAAAGCTCGATCTACGACGGCGAGATGCTGAGCGGCGCTCAAGCGCGTGAGATATGGAGCTTGTTTCAGGGTGCGTCGGAGAAACAAATCTGTCGTTCTTGCCGAGCACATAATGTAATTAAAGAGCGAGAGACGGTGCCCTTTTCTCTACAGTAGCTAAACCATCTTAACGGGGAAAATAAGTTATTCTAAAAGCAGCCGAAGATTTAAGGCGTGGATGGCGAGGGGGGCGGCGGGATCGGACCCTGAAAGCACCGTCTCCACCTTACTGTCAAAAAGAACAACAGCGAGTGCGTAGAAAACTCCTTCGAGCGCGAGCAGAGATTCTCCTGAGACCAACTTTTGCTTGCGCGAGACGGCCTTTTGCTCGCAGATGTTTGATTTTGGTTAAATTCTTGAGGTAATTATTCATCCCTAGTTTATGTTTTGATCAGAGTTGTGATTAAAGGTTTGGGTGGGCCGCGAAAGATTTTCAGATTTCAAAGTGGGCCGCGGCATTCTTGAGTTTGGGAACCGCTGGTCTATGGTATCAAATGCGGCACTGAGGTCCAGCAAGACAAGAAAAGAGATGAATCCTTGGTCCGATGCAAGTAGAAGATCATTTGTAATTTTCACCAGTGCTATGATGCACTCGAAATCCTGACTGGAAATCCTCAAACAAAGCATTGTTTTGTAGAAAGTCACATAATCGATTTGCGACAGATTTCTCAAGGATCTTAGAGAGGAAGGGAAAATTATACTGCGAAACGCTCCAGTGAGAATTTGAGGTCACACACTAAAGATTGCATCACGAAAACCGCATTGTTCCTCTTCAATCCTTGGTTTGACTATCGGCTGAACCGTCCTTTCCAGCAACTTGTAGACCCGGGAGGCTGAGTAGTGTTATACTCCTGGAATTGGTACACACACTCTGGTCCCCCTTTTGGAAGAGGGGTACCACCACCCCGGTCTGCCACTCTTTTGGCACTGTCCCAGACTTCCACACAATGTTGATGAGGCGTGTCATCCAAAACAGCCCCCCAACGCCCATTGCTTTTAGCATCTATGGACGGATCTCATCCCGAGGCTTTGCCACTGCGGAGTTATTTGACTACCTCAGTAACCTCCAGGCAAATTGACGATGATCCCTCCTCCGCCTCTACCAAAGAGGGCGTAGTAGTTGGATTAAGGAGTTCCTCAAAGTGTTCCTTCCACCGCCCGATGACCTCCTCAGTCGCGGTTAACAGGGTCCCATCCTTACTGTACACAGCTCGGAAGGTTCCCCGTTTCCCCCTACTGAGGTGCCAGAACGTCTTCCAGAAGCACTTTGGAGAAGGACTTGTGGTTGGCACCATAGTTACCCCGAACTCCTCCCATACTCGCTGCTTTGCCTCCATCACGGGAAAGAGGCTGCTGCCCTTCTAGCCTGTAGGTATACTGCAACTGCCTCCAGAGTCCCACCGGAAATCATAACCCGGAAGGCTCCTTCTTCAGTCGGACGGCTTCCCTGACCACCGGTGTCCACCACGGGGTTCGAGGGTTACCGCCCTTTGATGCACCTAAGACCTTGAGGCCACAACTCAATGCCACAGCTTCAGCAATGGAAGTTTTGAACATACACCACTCTGGTTCAATGTCCCCTACCTCCACAGGAATGTGAGAGAAGCTCCGCAGGAGGTGTGAGTTAAAAGTCTTTTGGACCGGGGCCTCCTCCAGACGTTCCCAGTTCACCCTCACTACACGCCTGGGTTTTCCTCATCCTCTGACCCAGCTCACAACCAGATGGTGATCAGTTGACAGCTCTGCCCCTCTCTTTACGCGAGTGTCCAGAACATCTATTTAATATATATATTAATATATATATATATTAAACGTATGACAAAAAAATAATTGTATGAGAAAAGCAGTTTGATTGTTTCTCTTTTGAACAGATGTACAACGGGTTCTCAATAAGTAACACAACCTGCAACTGTTCACGGGTCTGAAGGAGTGGTCTGAAGGATCCACTGATGTGCAGTGGACTCGTGGACGCCTTTCTGCTCCGAAAGCAAAGCCTGGAGGTTATCAAATGTGTGATCTACGAATAGATTCATCTCAATGTTTCAGAATCCTGAACCTGAACACACGCTACAGGAGACTCTGTGACACACATTTACTTACACGTCCAGGGATTAAATAGAGAAGGTTGATTCATCCAATAGGAGGTCTCACAAAATGTACATCTGATCAAATACTTTGGTACCAAATCCAAACGGCTTACGGGGTGAACTCTGTGAAAGCCACTTTGTTTGGGAGCTATTAATGAAACATTTTACCAGTTCATCCAATGCAAACTAAGATTCCCGATGATCCCAAAAGTCATAAAACGTTATTGTCCGGTCGGTATCTTAGCAACACAGTTAAAAAACTGCTGCTTGTACGAACCTCGTGAACATGATTAAAGGGAGCGGAAATGAAATGAGTGAGCACAAATTGTGTTGCTAAATTAATTTAATTCTCTCTTTAAGCCAATGTCTGCCGAAAACACTGTTTTCTGTTTTGTTGTTTTGGCTTCATTAAATATATTTGTGTTTGATGATCATATGTAAACATGTGTGTATATAAATATAATGAAATATGTTGCACTTTTTTGAACAAGACAAAAAACAACAATAGAGCAATGAGGAAATAAAATCTAGATAAACAAATGTGTATCTATAGAGACATATATATGATTTTATTTATATTTCCCTGTATCGCAATCTTCTGCTTCGATATTTATATTCTTGATTTAGTCGTCAATATGACCTCAATGAACACTATAAAACATGCTTTATGAATCAAGGTCTCAAACCTTTTCAGAACCAGAGTGCAGGAGGTCAAAGCTCTATAAAACCAGAAGGAATAAGCATATTAAAAATATTATTTTTAGCACTGTATTTATAGTTAACCAGACGTCATCATGCTGTTCACACTCAACAACTGCTTTCATTTCCACCAATGAATCGAAGTTGTGTCTAATTTCCAAATCCTAGACGGTAAGAAGAATAAATGACAGGCTTTTCCCTGTTGAACTTTAATAAAGTTTTTCTTTAGTAGGCTGAACATTTGAAAAGCTACATTCAAAAATGTGTGAAACTTGTTTTCTGAAGAAAGGAGAATCAACCATAGAGATAAAGATACAGGAATAAAGATGACACAGAACAACCTCATATACATCTTTTATTATCATGATCTTTACCACCAGCGGGATATTAAATCATCTGAGACTTATGGTACATACAATCATTTACCTTTAAAGGTTTAACGCCTCTAGTTAAAGCATCCGTTCCAACAGGTTTGTTCTTTAAGGTCAGAGTCGAGGATTGTGTGAACCTCCACCTACTTCCTGTCATATCTTGCTAAAACACTTTGGTGTAAAGGTGCATAATTGTGTGGAGGATAATGGAGGACGGTGCCGCACCCTGAGGAGAGAAGAACCTGCAGACTCCTCAGAGAAAGTCCCGGCATCGATAATCAAACCCTGGGTTTGTCTCACGTTGGGGTCACCTGGCGTGACCTTTCTTCCGCATCACCACGATACCACGATATGTGGCGTCTGCTCACCACGATAGCAGAGGATGAAGGTCCTTATCCGTCTGTAAAGCCTTTATTTGATCCAGCTTATCATGTTATCACTCACAAAGGCCAATTACTCATAACTCGTATTACTACTGAAGCGTGTTTGCACTGCAGGTACTCGTGAAACAATCCTGTCTTACACGTCGTTTCTCATTTCAGTCTTAAATCCTACGATGCGAATGTGACTGTTGTGTGTGACCCACAAACGTAGATGTGGATCCGGATGTTCGCTGGCTGCAGAAAGCAGGAACCACGGCATGACCTCAGAGGCTTATCTGCTGTCCGATCAACAAAGGATGGCTGCAAAGATTTATAGGTTGCTAAATCAGCTTAATTGTAGAGTTCGGTCACCTCAGGTTACAAAGGCAAACACGTGACTTTAAAACTACCATTTCATTTGATCCGAAGCAGCAAAAACAGAAAGATTCTCTTCTATTTACACAAGGATTTATGATTTCTCTGTAAGCCGCCGTTCAAAACAATAGAGTCCGCCGGCCAATGGGAAACCTCAAACCAGCAGAGTCGTGATGACTTGAACTAAGACACGCTTTTCCCTTCAACCTCTGTACAGACTCGGTCACCTGGCAACCTTAAGATAACAAGAGCAAACAACAAACCAAGCACTTTGTGCTTTACCGAGGGGAGGGGAAGCTTTCATATTAGCCCCCCCTCTCGTGTGGGAAGCTTCCCTCACTGGCAGCAAGATAGACATCAGTACCCAGACATCTGCAGAGCGAAAGGTAGTGCGAATCGTCAGCACAGTTGCAGGGGTACCTTTTCTTTGGAAGTCATGGGGATTGTAGACCAGGTTCTCGAGTCCTCCAGCTCTGCCTCCCTGTTGGGGGTTCTGCTGGTCCTCCTCCTCGTCTACCTGGCCTCCTCTTTCAGCCTCGGCTCCCCGAAGGACAGGAAGGAACCTCCGGGTCCAACGCCGCTCCCTCTGATCGGGAACCTGCTGCAGCTCGACCTCAAGAGACCCTACAACACCTTGCTGAAGGTAAGAGCGGCTCCCATTGGCGTGTTGGTGGGTTTCTGTCTCCTTTGTGTCTTACATCAGAAAATGCCATGACATCATGCGGCCTTCTGTCAGCTTTCCAAGAAGTATGGATCAGTGTTCACCGTCTACATGGGACCTGAGAAAGTGGTGGTCCTCGCTGGGTACAAGACGGTGAAGGAGGCGCTCGTGAACCGTGCCGAAGAGTTTGGAGACAGACAAGCGATGCTGATCATACGAGAGTTCAATCAAGGACACGGTAACGAAAAGCTGTCCCCAAATACCTTCGTCTTCATTTCAGCACACAAGCTGAAATGAATGAACTCACGTTGCTGCGCTGCTTCTTCCTCAGGGGTTATCTGGTCCAATGGGGACTCGTGGAAGGACATGAGGCGCTTTGCTTTGACCAACCTGAGAGACTTCGGAATGGGCAAGAGGGCGAGCGAGGACAAAATCATCGAGGAGTGTGAACACCTCATTGAAGTCTTTAAGAAACATAAAGGTGCATTTCTTATTACAACAGCGTGAGAAGCAACATTTCATCAACTCTCTTGAGATTGATTTGTTGCCCCTTTCCCTTTTCACAGGAGAACCTTTTGACACAACCCAGCCGATGAACTACGCAGTCTCCAACATCATCTGCTCGATCGTGTATGGCAGCAGATTTGAATACGATGACCCACAGTTCACATCGCTGGTGGATCGAACAAACAGAACCATTCAACTCGTGGGCTCCCCGTCAATACAGGTGGGATTTTACTCTTATTAAGCTTGGACTTGATAATGATTGGAAGAAATGATATTACATACAGACATTTATTATTTCAATTTCAGTATTTATACGGTATATTTATGTATTTTCCAACAGTTGTATAACCTGTTCCCGTGGATCGGTAAATGGATTGCCAATAGGAACGAGGTGGAGACTCTGATTACTGCCAACAAGAAGCAGAACTTGCAGCTGTTCAGCCGCCTGAAGGAGACCCTCAACCCGCTGATGTGCAGAGGCTTCGTGGACGCATTTCTCGTCCGAAAGCAAAATCTGGAGGTTGGGAAATGCTGTATATATTATCAACTTAAAAAAATTGCTAGCATGCCTATTGCTGTTAACATTTGGGTTTAACAAAGGATGTTTGAATTCAATTGGACTTGTGTGATGCCTAAAAAAGTTCACCTCCTCTATTTCCGGGATCAGTTTAGCACGAAAGCGTGGTGGCGCTAAAGGACTAGCATGCTAGTTAGCTCAAATAGGCCGTCTCTCTAATAATAGTAATAGTAATATTGTTATCCTTGCAGCTGAAGCGGTTAGCACAAGGCTAAGCTAAGCTATGCCTGAAAAACTAAAAAATCCCTCAGTCAGTGAATGTAACATATCAAGAACTGGGTCAGATTTGTTTGAATAACGGTGCTGATTGATTACCTGCAGGAATCTAAGAATACCAACAGTCACTTCAACGATGACAACCTCATGCAGACGGTTCTCAACCTGTTTGCCGCCGGCACCGACACAACTGCAACCACCCTGCGATGGGGGCTTCTATTTATGGTGAAGAATCCAAAGATACAAGGCAAGGAGATAAAGACATCAACAAACCAACAATTCACTATTCATCTTTACTAAAATGTAAAATGTTGGCGTCCCAGACCGGGTCCGCGAGGAGCTGAGCGAGGTGGTAGGGAGTCGCCAGGTGCAGGTGGAGGACAGGAAGAAGCTGCCCTTCACCGACGCCGTCATCCACGAGACTCAGAGGCTGGCCAACATCGTCCCCATGGCGATTCCTCACAAAACGACGCAGGACGTGACCTTCCAGGGTCACTTCATCAAGAAGGTCAGACTGACAAAAAACACTATAGAGAAGGGAAATAGTAATATGAAAAAGCTTTGATTTGGTTTGCTGAGCCTGTTTCTTGTTTGGTTTGCAGTGAGTAAACATCAGGGTCCAGATGCATAACACAGACTTTACAAAATTCCAGATAAAATGAAATAATCATTAACAGGGAATTGCTGACTCAAATTTGATTAAACATTTCTCGTGCACAGGGGACCACGGTGTTTCCTCTCCTGACGTCCGTCCTGTACGACGAGAGCGAGTGGGAGGAGCCACACAGCTTTCACCCCGCCCACTTCCTGGATGCAGACGGGAAGTTCATCAAGCGAGACGCCTTCATGCCTTTCTCTGCAGGTGGGTGAATCCACCGTGGCTCTTCTCGGTGGTCTCGTCTGTTGTCCTTCATCGGTGGTGTCTCCCGCAGGCCGCAGGGTTTGTCTCGGGGAGAGTCTGGCCAGGATGGAGCTCTTCATCTTCTTCAGCACCCTCCTGCAGCGCTTCCGCTTCACTGCTCCACCCGGGGTGTCCGTGGAGGACCTGGACCTGACTCCCCGCGTGGGCTTCACCCTCAACCCTTCCACCCACAAGCTGTGTGCTGTTCCCTGTGTGTGAGGAGGGTCGTGGCCTCGAGCCGCGCTCTACGTTCATGCAGAGCATGAAGATAAATATTTAACAGAGCTCAAACACCAGCACGCTGAATTGCTTCTTTAGAATCGCTCAAGTTCAAGGAATGTGAATTATTCATCAAATAGCTTTGATGCAGAAATCAAACTATGTTTTCTTTTAACTGGAATATAATATAGCAATATAGGTACAAGTCAGATGAACTCAACAAGCTTAAAGGAGCTTCACTCAGTGTAACTGATTCAGAAACAAAGTTGCAAATCTACCTATGAAACTCTAGAAAAAAGTAACTTGATTTGCACCTGCACCTTTTATCTTTGTCGATCTATGTTTATGACTAACGTGTAACAGAAAAAAAAATGCTTCCTGTTTCCAGACCGATCGTGGTTAATGTGTATGTGTGTGCATATATACTGTATGTATATGAACCAAAAAAGCAATCTAAATATCTACTGCAGCACGAACTGATCATCTGGATTAAATTAACACAATAAGGACTCTGTTGATAGGCTGTTTTTTAATTTATGTCAATAAGTAAATGAACAACAGTTTTTTCACATTTAAAGATTCCATGTATGTCTACATAATAAACAACGGTGTGCAGTGGAATAGAACAACCTTCAACCCGAACCAGCAGACAATGTTTGATCAGAAAGCTGAAGCATAAACTCTGCAGACGCTGAGAGGACAAACCACTCTGACACCAGGATGTATGAACGCGTCATCATGTAAAAGCTGCGTTTCCTCTGATTTATTTTGGTTTGCTGACACGGCCGTAGAGACTGCTGGGAGCGTCCTCTGCTTCTTTCTTCCCCAGAGTATTGACTGTAGAGTATGTCACCTCGTCCTCTTTGACCTGGGTGACACAGACCGGAGGTTTTAACTCAGTCGTTAATGTCTCATTTCAAAATGACGGGTCAGGGTTCCGCTGCAAAGTTCTGTGAGGTCACTCACCTTTGTGCGAGCAGGGGCCTGTGGATGAGAATGGCTCACAGCCATGTAGGTCAGATCGATCCCGGGTTCATCCTGAGAGATTCATAAAGAACAGAGTGAAGACTGTGCGTCTGTGTCCAACGGGTAGAAAAGTGTTTCTGAACTTCATTTCAAAGAGCACATGAGAGCAACTTCACTTTGGTTTTAAAGTGGAGGGAAATTGACCTTCTACGTCTGTGTGGTCACAATACAGCTTCTGGCCACCAGCGGCAGAAGTGAGCACAGGTTTCTTTCAATTTATGGCTTAATAGGTTTCATCTAAGTGAGTCACTCTACCTGCACCAACAACGTGCATGTGCACAGGTAGAGCCCTACTGGTACTCAAGCACCTGCCCTTTTGCCCTGGATGAGAAACGTTCCCCTTCTGCAGGAGCACAATTTTTTCCCCCCAAATATGTTTTGATATCTGACCGGCCTTTATTTGAGCTATTGTGAGAATTTCGCCCCGAACTGCGCTCACAAACCCCGCCCCTTGCCCCTCCTCTTCTTGCTCCTCCTCCTCCTCGTGCTCGTGCAGTGCTGAGCGCCAAACGGCTGCAGCATCAGACCCACAGGTATTGACCCCCGACGCTGTTTAGTGATAAATTAACCACAACATTAGCGCCGCTGAAAACATTACGTTGCAATTGGTCCGACGTTTCCTAAAAAATAAACAACAAAAAAAACAAAAAAAAAAAGTTTATTGAAGAGAGAGAGGGAGAGAGATACAGGCAGGCGGACAAATTACAGGTTCACTAGTTTTGTTTAATTTATTAAGGTAGGTCTTTAGTTGAGCTATGACAGTCTGGTGAGGTATATTATTAGTGTAATGCTTATGCTTACAACAGTACAAAAAATGTGTGTGTGCGTGTGTGTGTGTGTGTGTGTTGTCAGCTTTATACACATCATGTAAGTCTCTATTATTATGCGCAACAAAAATATTATGCAAAATTTGCAGAATAGTGCCAAGAAAAGAGAGACTCCAAAAGAAGGGAATATATCCTACTGTGTCTTTTATTTATTTATGTTTTATTATTAGTATTTTTAATTCCATGAATAATTTTGCCGATGGGTGCCCTTTTGTTTTGGTTTGAGCACCTGCCCCCCAAAATGTCTGTGCACGTTCCTGACCAACAGCAATGGGACATTTACTCACAGCGGGTTGGCTCGGTTTCTGAACATCTGCAACAACAGAAAACATTTCAAAAGATAAGTCTTCAAGTATCCTTTTGTACATGATACAATCCATGACATCAATCCAGCGAGATGCTTCCTCGCCGAGGCCCGACTCCATCATCGGCTTGTGGACTTACGTCTGGAGTCGCTTACTTCACTTTCTGCAACCAATGACAGAAGTTACCATATTTGGAATTCCGAGGAGTGACGTATTGACGCATCCGACTCTAGTGGACGAACTGTCAATCAACGTGTAGCCCCGCCCTAAAGCATCCCCTGCTTTACGATCTGTTTCACTCTACATGGACCATAATTCACTAATTGAATTGTATTGAAGAAGACCTGAAACTACAGACTGAGACCGTGAACTCATGTTTACAATGTTTACTGAGGGAATAAATCAAGAGAGAAGTAATGTAATTTTCTCATAGACTTGAGACCAGAGGAGTCGCCCCCTGCTGGTCACTGTGAATGCAGCTTTAACTCATGAAGCTTTGGCTTGTGTCAGCAGGACTGCAGTTTGCCGTCTGGCTACAACTACATTTTGTTGTAAATCCCTGTGTGGCATATTAGGAATAAATAATCCGAGGCTACGTTAAACTGGAAGAAAATCCATTGACATTGGATCACATTGAGCATAGTCCTACATAGTAGCCACGTTATGCTTAATTCAAGGTAAAGTCCCTTTTCATTCTGTTCTTTCAAAGACAGTGGCCTTACTTCAGTGTCCTGATGAATGGAGAATGAAGGAGTAGGACTATGCCATCCATTTATCGTCACTAAATACAATGTGTCGACCAATAGTCACATATAACAAAATAAATACGTTCCATTTGACAGCTTATCACATATATGGAAGGAGCTACTGACCCTCTGTCCCTTTGGATCTCTTCCTGTATTTGATGAGAACTGCGACCATGACGACCAAGACGGCCACCCCCGCGACCACGGCGACCACAGCGATGATGATGATGATGATGGAGGGGTGATCAAGGGCGCCATCTTTGGTCAGAAATGTAATTCCTCTCTAAGCACACCGGTTTGAAAACAGGACGTTTTCTTCTGAAAAAATCTCCTCTGACCCCGTTGATGACGCTCATGAGGTACCTGAGAAGTCAGGTGTGTAATCGGCTCTTATAGCGATGCCTTCGGCGTCGACAAACTGGCAGGTGTACTTCCTGTTTGGTCCGGCCTGCCGCCTCACGGTCACCATGGAGACGCAGCACGTCTGCCTGAGGAGGGTGCGGCCGGTGCCTTCCGCCCGCAGCTCCGTCCCCGCCTCGTCCCGCCATCGGAGGCTGCCCACGAGGCAGAAGAAGCCCGGGGGCCTCCGCACAGTGCACCGCAGGGTGACCTCGCCGACCCCCCCGGGGTCAGAGCCCGCTTCAGAGGGAGAGACTGAGAGGAGACAAGAGACTTAATAGGTGAGGGTGGGGGCGTACGTTTGACAGGAGATGGAAATGACCCTCACCCGTCATGACACTGAGGGACACTTGTTCGTCCCGGTTAACGTCCTGGCCCTGCCTGCAGGTGTAGCCTCCGACGTCCTCGGCCGTGACGTTCCTGATGACCAAAGAGCACCTTGTGTCCAGGCTCAACCGGGAGCCCTGAGCAAACCTTCTCTCCACCTTTCCTTCCTTAACCACGAATGAAGACTGGATCTGATCTATGCTGTAAATCCAGGAGACCAGCGAGCACGTCGTGTCACCGGGAGATGTGTTCAGACAAGACAGAAAGACATCCTGTCCACTCCGGGAGTAGAGAGACACGTCTGTCGTCCTGCTGGTAACCTCTGAGAGAAAAGAGAAATGACACGTACACATGAAAACTGTTCATTAGTGTACAGCTAATGTTAATCTACGTATATATACACATGTACATATATACATTATATATATATACTCATTGTTTTTTTGTGTACACTGAATATTCTATAATTATTCTTTAAGTTGTAATGTAAGACGGATCAGGAAGCCAGCTGAGTGATCATTGCGTTACATGTATTGTAAAATAACACAACCCTGGTTTGCTTTTGTAGATATTTCACATTATCCTTCATCTTTTAACATGAGGGAGAATCTGCCGATGCTGTAGAGATAAACAGTGATAAACAGTGAGAGGATCACGGCGCTCACCTTGGATCTGAAGCTGTGACGTGAGGATGAAGAGCAGCAGAGCTTCGGGGTCCATGTCTGATGTTTGAGGCGTTTCTTCTCCTTTGTGAGGCGGCTGTTTCCTTTCTGTGACTGAGGGAAAAAAACTTTCTTGAGAAACACTTCCATTTCCTCAACGGAACGCACACGACGGCTTCCACACAAAACTCCTCTCTCACAAACTGCAGCTTCAACATGATGAATGATTAGCATTTTATGAGCATTTCACTTCCTTGCTTTCTGAGCGATACGTTTTACATGACTGAAGGTACATTTAAAGTTAGTTAAAGTCGCTCAAAGTAGACACCACAGGAACATAATAATTGTCTAATATTGTGCGATTGTGGGGCAATATTGACTCCTATTGATTATGCCTCCCTTCTGCCTGTGATTGAGACGTTAAACACATGACGTCTTTTTTTTCCAATCAAACCTCCCTGACTTTTATTCCTGAGATCAGCGTTTCTATGTAAATATCCTCATGTTCTATTTTGTCATTTCCGAGATGTAATCAGAAGAGGAAGTGGAGCATTCGTTGTGTAACCGAACCCAGAATAAAGAGCCTGAGAGTCTGCACACTGCAGCTCTGAGCTAAATGCTAACGCATCTGGGTTAGCGTGTTAGCATGCAGTCGTTAGCAGTGCTGTAGTGGTCAAATTAGAGGTGGGTAAACTATGAATTTTGTGATCAGACCTCGACACTGTGTGAAGCAAGTAAGTAAGGCTGTCCTGGCTATATAGCATTATGTTATCAGTTAACGTCATATACAATCAATGACAGTGAATAAATGTGTTTCTAGTTTATTCAATTTCAAGAAAACAGTAAAGAAAGGTATGTGTAGGCCTGAAAAAAATGAAGTCGGTAGAGGGGGAGACAAAAGAAAGAACCTCTATAGGACTTTAAGAAAAAGTAAGGCCTCTGGAAACAGGCCCAGGGTGCTGAACGTGGAATATGAAAAGACCCTCCTGCAAGTTAACACCTGCTCCTTAACCATTAAGAGAAAGCTCCAAAAGTCAACGTAACTAGTGAATCCATTCCAAACAGGCGAGCCGAACCACAACGTGTGTGTTTACATCCTGATCGGACGGTCACAGACCAGACAGCGCAGATGAAAACAATCAGGCTACGGCAGTGCAGTTCAATGTCCATCTGCAGAAGTGTCTAGAAGAAGAACCTTTATTTAAGTCTTGAGTTACACGGTGCAATACTTGTCTTAGTTATCCAGGAAATTACAGATGTTTACTAAATATGTTAAAGCGTGAATACCCTAAATGGAAAAGAGTTAATTTACCAGTTATGAGACATTGTTATTTCCACCTGCCAAGCGTCTGCCTTTATTGTCCCGTAACTATTTAACTTGTTGGAAAGAATATACAAATACATTTCCTGTACACTTTCAATATTCTGTAATTATTCTCTAAGTTATAATGTAAGACGGATCAGCTGAGGGATCATTACGTTACATCTATTATAAAATAATTAGGGCTGTCAACATAAACGCAGTAATTGATGCCGATAATGTGGCCGAGATTAATGTGACGAAACATTTTTAGGTTACTTCCGGTCTACCAGAAGGAGGGGGCGGGGGGTTGTTGTGGGTTCCTCTGACTTGATCAACAGATATAATCACATATCAAGTTTCAATTGACTTGAAGAGGTTGTGAGGTTGTGTTGGTCCAATCATGGCAGAACCGTCAGAGTGAAGCAACGCCATTCACGTCATTTTCTTTCGATTCGGTACCAGTAACTCTAGAAATTCTTCCTTATCTGTAATAGTTGCACGTACGTAAACTCTGGCAGATCGAGCATAACAGGAAAGACGTCAATGCACCGAAAAGTGAGACGCTTTTACTGTGGAGGTGCATATGATGTCACGTGTGTATATGACAGCAGACAGGATGCAACATCCCAGTGACGGGATCATTAAACCAACAGCAGCTTCACAGCTGAATGGAACGTTTACATTTAGATATATTGGAACACGTTTTGTGCAACAATCTGCTCAAATGTGCTTAAACCTGCTGCAGTTTGTGGTCACAGTACAAAGAGGATTAAAGATCAAACACAAAGTGCGTATTCCTCCACATCAATGAGCCTTAATGCAACGTTCCTTCATTACCATCAACACACACACACACACACGTGTTCCTGCTGCCCCAAAAATCAACTAGAGCAACAAATGTGGATTATCTGCAACATCGACCCCAACAAGTGGCCCCTTTCCTCCTGTTAGAAGCTGATTTGGGATTTCAGCCTCTTTTGAATTCTATATTCGTTATTTTACTTACTTCACTGAGAAGAATTCGGTCCAGATTTGTCGACCAACAGGAAAACATTTTCCTTCAAGGACCAGCTGAATGGCGTAAATGAGGCGTTGTGTGTCTTTCATCGCGTTGGTTCGTGTCACATGACGGATACTTTAAGCTAAGTTAAGTTTTCCATCATTCAGATGAGAAGAGTTTAATGCACACAGTTTGAATCAAAGCTAAAGACAAAGAAATGTAAGATGTTTACTAGAAAAATGCGTCATACAAACATGAAACGGTTCTATAAGGCGTGAAAAAATAAAAGCAAATAAATAAACAGAAGATTTAGCTTGACTCATGCAAAGTTAGGAGTACGTAGTGATCAAATAAACAAAGTGCTTCTCTGGAAACACAGGATTCAAGTCCTCAGATAACTTAACAATACAGTTTAAATCAGTTCCTCGGATGATTCATCTTGAAATGTCGGTAACAGAATCCAATGTCCCGTCACAAAGGGGAAATGCTGCTTTATCACTATTAAACAAAAGCCACATTATGGAGCTCAAAATACAAACGTCTGGTCGCTTGTACGTCGTCTTTTGCGCTTTTAAAAGGCATTAATGATAGAAAATATTTATCATTTACCAACAAACAATCAAGTTAGTCGGTTACGTTTGACGTTGAGCCTGAAAACATGTGATTGTTTGTGTGTGTCAGATAAACCACTTAAACTGGACTAATAACACATGTTGCATCTATTTATAAACTATAAAGCTGCACTTTTATTCCACAAAATTGAAAAAACTAATCTAAACTACGCGTCTATTGCTGAGCTCTTTTGTGCTTCTCTTTGTTGCTACTGCAGAAATCCCACTAGGTGGCGCTGACCTTTCTGAATGTGCACGTGACCCTTTTACTACTGATTCTGTATTGTAATAATCGTGTAACAAGCCGCTTCAGATGAGCTCGGCTCGCCTTCCTCGTCCCACGCGAAGGTGAATAAAAGCCACATCTGAAAGACAAATACAGCTCATCCAAACATTTCACTTCCTTTCTATTCATGTCATCCTGCAGATGAAGATATAAATATGAACACTGTCCAAAACCAAAGCCACAAACCTCAGAGGCTTCTCGCAGGTGTCGAGAACTTGTCATACAGTCCATGATAATCGGCCGTTATCACGAGATTAAAACAGATAAACACAGTTTGTGTCGAAGGCTCAGATCACATGACCAGCGTCTGCAGCACCTTCCTGCGCTCGGTCCAATTCCAGTAGTCCAGAGGAGCCTGCAGGGTCAGCGGCAGCTTCCTTCTGGGGACACCAAACAGGAGAGAACGCGCCCCCTGGAGTATTTCCTCTGAACTGCAGCGGCCCTGCAGGCGGCCGTGTGCAAAGTGGAGCAGCTTCTTCTGCGTACCTTTTTTATTCTTTTCAAGTGTTTGGGGGGAGCTTTGTGCCCGCCTTGAATCCACTATGTGGGGGAGGTGTGTGTGTGTGTGTGTGTGTGGCTAACAAATATAAATGAGACACGTCCTCGGCGTCACAGCGAGGTTTCCCGGGAGAAGCTGATGGAGGGTTCCAGTTTGACGCCGTTGGTCTTCTTCTCCGGGGGGACGTCCTCGGGACACCGCGCAGAAAGCTGGGAGGAAGACAGAAGCAGATGTGATGTCCTCGCTAATCGTGAGAGAGTCCAGAGGAAAAAGACGAGCATCTTGTAGCTGTTTGTGGAGGTGAAACCCATCAAGAGACTCAGCAGAGGACGGCTCAGGAATCCGTCTCGCCATAAGGTCACACCACGGGACGCCGCGAGAGGACAAATGCTGAACAGAGGGACGCTGTCCTCTCTGAAGCCCCCCGGAGGGACAGGAAGAGATAGAAATGAACTAAGATGTAATCTGAACCGAAGCGTGAATCAAAGGAGCATGTGGGCCGCGCTTCATGCAACACACACATTACTTCAAGAAAAGAATCCTTCCACTGCCTCGCCTGCCTATAATATAAATATGTGTGTGTGTGTTTTAGTGTACTCACTGCTTTCAAGTGGTTGCCGTGCACCTCCATGTTGACATTGTTTCTTTTCAGTTCTGACTTAATGAAGGCTGAAACACAAAGTAACAAAATATTACATCTGATATTTTGTTTATAAAAGGCACAAAGAACACACACACACAAACACACACACATGCAGCCTACCTGTGAGCAGTATTCCCAGGAAGATCCAGGCGCAGAGGAAGATGTTTCCAGCCATCGGATTGTGGTTTGTTGTCAGTTTTCCCTGAATCAGAGTGAAAATGATCCCAAAGATCTGCACACACACACACACACACACACACACACACATCAATGGTTAGCGGGTGATGGACAGCAGCACCTCTGGGGCGCGTTAGAGGACCCTGGAGGTACCTGAGCGAAGGCATTGAGGAGGCCCGAGGACGTCCCTTCCGACTCCGGGTAGGTGATCTCCACCCCGAACTCAAAGCCCAGAGGCAGGTACCCCGTCATGAAGAACCTGCAACACAAGGTGTTAAACCCCGGAAACAGCCCCCACCAGGCAGCTTCTCCTCCTGCTTCATTAATCCATGATCAATGGAGCCGAGCCACATCTGCAGGTGGTTTCAGTAAACACACCTGCTGCAGGCGCAAGAAGAAACCACGTGTATGAATTCAGAGACTCGTACCCCAGAGCTCCAGCCGTGAAGAAGACCAGGAGGATGCTGAGGTGCAGCGTGAAGGTGAAGACCAGCATGCCCAGAAAGGACAGAATGTACACGATCAGAGTCGTCATCCTGTGAAGCACCACAGCGTAGTTTAGTCACTTTAATTGACAGGATTTCAGGGACCAATCAGAGACTTCCTCTGCTTCATTTTCCTCCCACTTGTCTCATGAATGAAATCCTCATTCTTCTCATCTTGTCGACAATAACTACGGCGCCGGATTGAACATTAGTTGCCGGACTCGTATTTCCTGTAATGAAGCAACCAGCGTATTAAGTCCTTCAACTCGCAGGTTTAGTTTCACCTTTTGATCGCAAAGCGTCTTACTCAACTCTTACGTTACACAACTGGGCCACAGGTGTGTGGACACGTCGGCCTGTGGAAGACCTCACGCAGCGAACAGCGTCACCACATCACGTGTAACACAGATCGCAACCTTAAATTCTGAAAAGTGCACAAGTATAAAGTCTTAAAGCCGCATCTCTCTGTAGTGACCAGCAGGGGGCGACTCCTCTGCTCCCATAGACGTCTATGAGAAAATGACTCCCTTGATTTATTCCCTCAGTAAACACTGTAAACAGCCTCAGTGGTCTCAGTCTCTAGTTTAAAGTCTTCTTTAATGCAGCACAATGTTCATTTAATAAAGCAGCGGGTGCGTTAGGGCGGGGCTACACGCTGATTGACAGGTCTCTGACACGGCTCCATGTTTTTGTCTTATAACTTTAACCCTTTAATGAAAGTTGATTGTAGCATTACAGTTAAAAGTTAAAAAACGCCTCCTTGTGTGTTTGTGTGAATCCGACGATCGACGTCATGTGTGTGTGGGTGTGTGTGTGCGCGCGTCACTTACTTGTACATCTTGGTTTGGTCCAGCCACACGCCGCACAGGATGGAGCCGACCATTCCGGCCACGACCAGAGTGAGACCGATCCTCCCCGCGTTCAGCTCCTGTTCCTGAGGACAGAGGGGGGGACAGAGGACAGAGGACACGTTGAGGACGCCTCGTGGGGATCAAACCGCCGACCGAAAGGCTTCTCGTCAGGTGATACAAGTGAGACAGATCATGAGACAGTCACAAGTTCAAGTGTGAGCTTGGGGGAGGGGGGGGTACAGTGCTTCTGGCTCTTAAGTCACCTGAGAGTTTTATAAGTTCATGCAAGGGTGAACATCTCTAAGCACGTGTGTGTGTGTGTGTGTGTGTGTGTGTGTGTGTGTGTGTGTGTGTGTGTGTGTGTGTGTGTGTGTGTGTGTGTGTGTGTGTGTGTGTGTAACAGGGATTGTGGGTTTTGCTTAGATAAGCAGAAACTGAATCTGCCTTGCTGTCCGTCCGTCAGCGTGAGAAAGAGAGACTCACTCGTTTGACTGTGTGAGTGTGTGTGTGTGTGTGTGTGTGTGTGTGTGTGTGTGTGTGTGTTGCGGTGGGCAGCAGGCATGCGTGAAACAGCTCCACTCATCTCTCTCTCTGTGGACCAAAGGGAGCGACAGTCGTCATAAAGATGGCGTCGTGAGCCGACCTGTACTGAGGGCAGAAGCCTGTTATTGGACTCGGGCGTCTCTTTACCTCGTAGCAGTCCATGATCATCTGGTTGAGGAGGGTTGAGACGGAGTAGAAGGAACCCGTCATGATGCCTGCAAGCACAAACGTCCCATTGAGACCATCACTGTCATTGTCACGTCCATTGGTGTCCACCAATGACATTCTTCTCTGCGTGGTCACGTGATGAGACTAAAGGGGGGGGGTCTCTACACACACACACACACACCGTAGCTGACGAGCAGCAGCACGAACGCCTTGTTCTTCATCAGGTTGACGATGGACCGCTTGTAGGAGTAATCCTCGGCGGGGGAGGTGGGGAGGACGGCCTGGGCGTGGCTGGGCGGGCGGAGGGGGCGGTCCTTGATCACTGTGGGACACAAAGGGGTGGGGAGGGGAGGGATTCAGGTTCACGGTGGTTCATTCAAAGAATACTACAGGTGCGTGTGCATGTCGTGTGCAGGTACCGATGACGGTGAGGACGAAGAGGGCGGTGGAGACCGCGGCTGTGCCGTAGAACATGACGCTGATGTTGTGGCTCATGAGTTCGATGTCGTCGGGCGTGTTGGGAACCAACACCGGGGGCAACAGGAAGCCAATGGCTGTTCCTAACTGAGGGGGGGTATTTATCAACTACTGTTCTGTACCATAGTGTACTTTCTGTAGTAAAAGTAATACCACAGTATCAAAAGCTATTTAAAACCGAGTTGAGCATCAAAGTAATATTAAAGAACAACAATGTAATTTTACACGTAAATAACGTTTTCTACACACACACACACACACACACACACACACACACACACACACACACACACCTGGTTGCCCAGCACGGCCGTGGCGCACGCGGTGGAGACCTCGCGGGGCCCGAACCACACGGAGGCGATGCGCGAGGGCAGGCCGAGGATGAACACCTGCGCCACGGAGCAGATCACCTGCGCGCCCACGGTCACCCCGAACCGCGCGGGGTCCGCGCTGGCGCACTTCAGCCACGCGCCCGCGCAGTTGAGTCCGGCGCCCAGCAGCGCCGTGAGCCGCAGACCCCTCCGGTCCAGCAGCCAGGTGGCCGGGAAGATGAGCGGCACGTAGGCCGCCATGTAGACGATGGAGAGCCAGTCCACCTTGTCGGTGGCGACGCCGTAGAACCGCGCGAACACGTTGGCGATGATGCCGTACTGGATCCACTGGAAGGCGTTGACCAGCGAGTACAGGCTGAACACCGCCAGCACGGCGAAGCGGCGCCGGGACAGCCCGGTCTCCGGCTCCGCTGCCCCGCCGCCGGGCAGCATCGCCTCCCTCTCATCCGGGGGCAGCTCCTTCTCCCGCCGGTCCTCCGCCTCTCGGGCGCCGCCCGTCGGCGCCGCTCCGTACGTCGGATCCGTCGCTCCCACCGGCTGCGGGGACTTCCTGCCCCCCGCGACGTCGTCGAGTACGCCGGTGTCCGCGCGCACGAGTTCCTGCACGAGCTCGCCGGCGACCATGATGCCGGTGTTCACCGCCTCCCCCCCTCCGCACCTCCGCCTCCCCCCCTCCGCCTCCCGAGAGAAGCCGGAAGCAGCACGGAGCACCGCGGCGATGCTTCAGAGAGGATTCAGAGAGGACACATTAAGACACGAAACACACGGATACTTCAGAGGAGACATCCGGTGTCTCTCTCTCTCTCTGTCTCTCTCTCGCTCGCTCTCTCTCTCTTTGTCTCGCCACGATGTCGCGCGAGTTGAGGATGAGCCAATAGAAGAGCAGCTCGCCCTGCTGGCGCGTTGTATTGCTGTCCGGGGTTTTATTTGGTATGTCGTGTATGTTTTTCTAAACGTCCAAATATGCAAATGAGGCAACAACCTGTTAAATAAATAGAAAAAAAACAGACACAAAAAAATCTAAATTTGAGAACTGTTTTCTAGCAAAACAAATTGTTTAAAAGAATATGACGAATGTCTAATGTTCCCGGCTGCTCGGTCCTAACTGACCACGTGCTGAGCTCGTTATCTAATCCTAATCAGCGTTTGACCCTGTGGGAGTCCGCAGGGTAATCTCAGGAAACTCACACTTAGTAATTGTTTAAGCAGTGTTTTGGGAATAAAAGCAAACCCCAAATGGAAAACAGGCGCTGATTTATGGGGCTCAATTTGGTTATATTCGTTTCATTCATCATTATTTATTTTTATCCAACTAATTCATTGTATTTCTTTCTATATTCTGCATAGGACTGTTTGCAGGAGATACATAAGAATTAGAACAACATTAAAATCCACAGTGAGTTATGCCTCAGGCTGTTGTAACGTTGTAACGCACCCAGGATGAGTCCTTTTGTTGGAGGATCAGATGACCTCTGAGCGAGGAGGCCTCACTCTGTCTGCGTTTCAGAGTACCACCATCAGGAGATACTTGTCCTTCAGACAATGGGAGACAACACATCACATGTCTGCGCCCTTCTGGTCTAAATCGAACAAAGGACACGGGAGAATATTGGCCCGGACCTTTATTTGTGTTTTTTTGTCTCTCACAGTAACTCATCGCTTCAAGTATAAAGGATCTTTGGGGCGCGCTTCTTCTTCGTGTTTCTCGGTTGTCATGGAAACGGCCGCCTCACAAACCGACGCCCCCGTCGATCCTTTATAGCGAGACAATACAACTAAAAAAAAAGAGGCGAAGGCGCCCCAGATGAACACCCACATGTCTGGAGCGGAGGAGCGGGCTCTCCTGGAGCTGAACCTCCGCCGGGAGACGTGGTGTCAGGTGGAGGTGAACCCCCGGCGGTGCTGGGAGAGGACCGAGAGGAGACACTACCGGGCTCACCTGCGCACCAGCCCGGTCCTCCTCACCGCCCTGACCGGCGGGCCGCGGCGCGGGGCGGCCCGCGGGGAGCGGCCGCCCGCCTCCGACCTCCCGGAGAGAAGGCACTTCGAAGAGAGCCGTAAGTAGGACGCTTAGAAACACTCCCGATGTCTCCATGGCAACTCGGATGTAATATATAGAGTTGTGAGGCCACTGATGGAGGAGCAAACTCCATCATTTTAAATTAATTAAGGGAGTTTCACATTGTTTTATTTCATCTGTATATCTGTTAGTGATGTAAAAACAGAAGTTAGGGTTTATTATTGCTTTATTAATATATGTATTCATATGTGTATAATGCCTGGTTCTTCTCCCGCAGATCGATCACAGCTGGTGTAGGCGGGAACGAAAACATCTGGACCGGAATTGGAACTTCAACGATTAAGGGCCAGAATACATCACAATATCTGTTCATAAGAGTTACAGGAGAACTACAAGTATTCACCTCATTTATGTACTTCTGCCTCTAATAGAATAAATAAACTAGTGAGTTTTCTTCCATATCTGAGACTGGTTCACATAGAGGATCAGGACGAGGGGCTCGTTCCCGGGAGATGGAAAGAGAAGAGAAACATCTGCAGAGGAGATCCAGCTGTGTCGAGGCCGCAGAGGGAGTCGGTCTCCACACAGATGTGTTCCAGAGGGAGCTGCTGGACCAGCTGGTCTCTCTGTGTGGAGGCATCACAGATGTGTCATTTGTCTTTTGTCAACGCGTATTCTACAGAAAACATTAAGGTGTATAAACTACTGCACTACTGTGTTATATTAACGGTAGAACATGGGCTCCAACTACTAAAAGGATTATAGCAAAGAACACCTCACTTCTAGTACAACACATATTGCATATTAGCATCAGCAGTACTTCTGCAATAAGAGCTCTTCTAGTTCCACTTTACATCAAAGTGAGAATAAAGATCATAACTTAAAGATGTGTTTTTCTGTTCTCTAACCAAGAGTATACGAGACATAGTACAGGACGTACAGGACGTAGTACAGGACGTATACAGAAAAGAGATACTGTACATCAGGGGTGCTCAATAAGTCGATCGCGATCGACCAGTTGATCTCAAAGGCAGTACCGGTCGATCGCGTGCCATTGATGACGTCAGGTCACGCATGCGGCGCGGGAGATGACAGACACTAATGCTAATGCTAATTAGCGATTCTTTTTTCATTCCAAAGCAACTCTGGTCAGTTGAAATGTAGCTCGCGAGCCAGAAAAGTGTGAGCACCCCCGTTGTTCACACTTACATTTTGCCACTGCTTCTCAGAAGAGGTAAAGGGTGGCGTTAAGGGTGGATGTGAAAGGCGGAGGACCTCACTGTGCTTCACCCATAAAAAACAACAAACACACGTTCCTCGTCGCTACATAACCAAGGGTGTGACTGTGCGTGTGTGTGTGTGTGTGTGTGTGTGTGTGTGTGTGTGTGTGTGTGCGTGTGTGTAGATGCATGAGGAAGATTGTAACTGATTTTTCCTAATGCAGATTAGGAGGCGACTTGGGAGTTTAACCTGTTTAACGTGCTTTACTTTATCAAAGTCTGGATGGTTTTTTGTGAGTTGGTTTAGTTCTGTAAGAACGGAGAGGGTGCAGTGGTGTATGTGTAATGTGTGTGTGTGTGTGTGTCTGTGTGTGTGTGACCCTCTCCAATAGCGACGGGGTGTTCTCTGTGTTCGTATAACTGTGACGGAGCTGCTTCCAGCATTAAACATCTTCCATTAAGAGATTTAAACACCTTTCTAGATCTTTTCTCTCTGGCGTCGCCCCCCAGTGGCCATTCGGGGGAATGCAGCTGGTCAAAAGTGACGATGGGATTGTTTTTATCCATTTTATATTGTAATTCAGAAAGTTGCTGCATTGTACCTTTGTGATGTGCAGACTTCACTTTACTTGTTGAATATTTCATTTTCAGATTCAAATGGATGTGTTTATCAACAGATGTGTTAAAATAAACGTTGAATTGGAGCAACTCAACGTACATTTGACACCTTGAATAATAATGAATAAGAAAAGGTAAATACGCCTCAGCCTCCCCCCACGTGTTCCTCGCCTGGACGCCGCTCAGCAGAATGGATTTGGTTACTCTCACAATGTGTCGGCTCAATAAATCCAACATGGCTGGGGTGTGGATTGTTTTGCTACCTGAGGCTTCAAGCCATGCTGCTCGGGGCCCTCACTCCCCCGCAGGGGATGGAGGACAAAACATGGGGCCTCCAGATGGGGATAGCTGTGAGACGAGGACTCAACTGTAACAGCCTGAAAAACAAACAGGGAGATCCAGCTGTGAGCAGCTGCACGGCGCTACGTGAATCTTTGGTTCTGTACATCTAGTTCTCACCTCACTGAGCCTCGAACCAGGAGGCCACGTTTAATGAGCTCTACAAATCTATTCTCCCTCGATTGCATAACAGTTTGATAAGTGTACATGTTGAATGGTCTTTGCGACCAGATGACCTGACTGACCTCTGTGGATCGTCCGGATCCTAGAAATAAAAAATAAATTTACACAGCTGTATGAGACAGCAATGAGATTAACATAACACATCTAATGTACGCTTACATATTGTTGTCTACATACAGGTTTTATGATTCAAAGTGGATATTTAAATTCTCAATACACGCTTTAGTTCATAATAACGATGGAATGATACATACTTGTATGAACTATGCTACTTGTTTAGGTCTTTTTAGTTAAATCACTGTGACAGTCAATGAATCCGCACTCCACTGAAATAATCCAAATATTAAGCGCCAGCAGCGCAAAATATGCAGAAAAACAGCGATATATGTACATTTCTCTAAAATCCGTAGTTCTCAGCTGGCGGAACGTCGCTGCGATACTAGAAGTGTTGTTGCCGGGACACGTTGCCAGTCGGACCAGGAAGTTACATGTTCATTTCCGGTTCATATATAAACAAGTTGGCGGTAAAGATGGAGCCTGCAGAGAGCCGACTGTTACCCGCGGATGAAAGCAAAGAGGAGTTCCGAGTCCAAGTGACGTCCAAGAGACAAGTAGCGGGACAGATAGACAAATACAAGGACATTTTGAAGACAGCTCTGGACGGACAGCCGGACGTTTCCCAGGAGACGAAGCGCGTTTTACTGCAGGAGCTGCTGACAGTGAGTCCTACCGACTGTTATTATCCATTATTAATAGTAAATATGAAGTTACATTTAGATTATACATTCTAAATATGTTCCAGTCAACTATCCGCTGATTCAAGACTTTAGTTACAATGTAGTGCGCGCAGTGAATTCTAAAGTAAATCTTGAATTTAATACTTAATATCCGTCAACATTCATACATCCGAGTAAAACCACAATGAAAGGCTCACTTAATATCCCATGAGTTGAATAGATCATTTCGGCCTAACGGTCTTAGTTTGGATATAATATATAATATCTAAATATCGAACAGTTTGAACCCTGCTGGCTAAAATGGTTTAGAACTGTTGACATGACAAGTATTATTATTTAACAATTAACACATGAATAGTATTTATTAGTCAAATATTCCGTCAGTTGTGAGCGTTTCTTTCCCTCGGCGGTGACGATCAACTGAATCTTTGCGTTTTGACCTCTTTGTTCCATGAAAATACTTTTTTTTGGCAGAACTTCGAGGGCGCCGTCCAGGACAACGTGCTGGTGAACGGACAGCCGTGGGAGGAGGCGCCCGATGTGGAAGGTGATACAGAACATAATTAACGTCTAAAATAGAAGTCCTATCCAAGGAACTAAAGCCCCCCCCCGTCTCTCCTCTGCCTCCCCCTCTCAGCGGAGGACGAGGCGATGGATCTGGAGAGCCTGCTGGACGACACCATAGTCGAGGCCGCCGGGCGGCGTCGCGCCTACCCGAAGAAGATCCTGCCTCACGTGGTGCACTCGCTCAGGGCGGAGCGGAGCCTCATGGTGGGTGTGTGGACGGTGCAGAGTAACACCTCGGTTTGGGTTTGGTGGAGTAAACACAGCTGGGTGGGAGGAAATATATTAAATCCGTAATGTTTAATGCTGGTTCATCTGTGTTTACCTTCTCTCCATCTTTGCTTTTCAGGGTCTGTACGAGCAGGCGGTCAAACCTCAAGAGGTGGTCAGAGATCCTGGTCAAGGTCGTTACCTTTTTACTTTACACGATATATATATATATATATATACTTTACATATATCTCCATGTGTATAAAGGAACAAATCTTACCCCATGTGTGTGTTTATTTTAATAAACGTTCCCCAAACATTCTCCACTCGATGCTTAAAGGAAACTCTGCTGGTTTCTCAACTGCTTCTTCTTCTCTGTGTTCCCTCTGCAGAGAGCTTCATGAAGGATTTGTCAGCTGAAGCTCCTGTAGTGGTGAAACAGGCCATCCAGGCCATAAAGGTAGCGCACGCCATGGAACACGCCATGGCGTTCCATAGGCAGAGGGATGCGTGGACGTTTATTTGTTTACACGTTTCCTCCCTCTAGGCGATCACCACGCTGCAGAAACAAGCCGAAGGCCTCCGTGAGATCCTGGACATGAAGCCCAGTCGCGGCACCCTGGAGATCCACCGAGAGGTGTTCGGCTGCGACGGCCAACCGGGCGGAGCCGCGCGGAGCGGGCGTCCAATCAAGAGAGCCGTGGAGGAGGCCGCGGCCGCGGAGGGCTACGTGCCCCTCAGAAAGAAACCCGAGTGACACTTCCTGCTTCCACCGCCGCTCGCCAAGCCGCGGGGGGGCGTCATGGACACATACGTGTGTGTTCTTCTTTACACAACAGAAAGCAGCGGTGAAAAATAACTCTTCTTTTTGGACACCAGGAAAGATTTGTGCAGTCAAAGGATCCGCCCCGTCTCCCATTTGGACATAAATACATTAATGGAGACGTCACTGCGACTTCACATAAAATGTCCCCGAGCACATCGGCCCAAAATTATCAACAACGTCTTCATTTTAACATTTCTCTGCCACTGAAATAATCAACTGTATTAGTGAGAAAAGATGAAGTCAAGTTTGGACTAAACTGCATCAGCTGAGATAATAAAGAGTCTTATTATCCTGTTCGTATTGTTGAAGATGAACTACTGTTGGAACCTACGTGCATGACGTTTTCTGCTCTGATGTCGTATAAATAAGATCTGAACTAAAGTCCTGACGTTATTGGCCTGAACCGGTCGTCTGTGCAGCGTCTCTGCAGGAGGAGCAGCGCGCTCTTTGGGGCTTGTGATGCACCAGTGGAGCAGCAGGGGGCGCCGCTCCCCTCGTCTGCTCTGCTGGATGAACCTCAGACTGAGAATGAAATCTTCTCGATGGCATTTTGCTTCTTTGATATAAATTATGACACCAAGCGCAACGCGACTTTGATACTTGTGAAAGTTCAATGTATCAAATATTTGAAAGCAGCTCAGCATTAATATGTAAGATGGACCTTCAGAGTTTAATAAATGTTTCACCATGTAATAAAAGTATTTTCAATTTATTACAAATTTTTTTTTTTAAACTAAGAAAGAAAACAGAAATCTGACACAACGCAGAAAGGAAGTGAAAAGTCTCGTCGTCATTTTTTTATGCCTATATCATCATTTCCATTAAATGCAGAAAGAGATTTCACATAACCCTCCCGCCCCCGTGACCTCGAGGTTACTGTGAGGTCACCCAGCGGCCTGGTTGCGTTAAGGGGAATACTTCACAATCACAGCAGACTCCATCTTGGTCATTTCTTTCGTCCTCCCCCCCGAGCGGAATTCATTCTTTGTTTCGAGGAAGTTGTTGACGTAAACCGAGTGGAGCTGCACCCTTTTCTGCACCCTTTTGTCAAGCTTCTGCAGAAGACAGATTTCTACACGCATGCTGTTTTTGTTTGTTTCATCGCCTTAGTGAGGGACAGATGGGCGGGGCTTATCAAACCGCAGCTGAAGATGACCAAAATGACCATGAGGTATTGCAGAGTGGACACATCTACTTTCCTGTGGATCCCGCTGCCCCGAGGAGTTTAATGCGTCTAACTCCACCCGCCTGGTGCTCCAAGCCGGCTAAAACAAAGCAACCTTTGGTGCTGGGAAATGCCAGAAACGTGCGTTCTTAAAGCTGTTGAATCTCCGTTGACCTCCGTGTTGTGATGTCCAAAAGTACAGCCCAAATAAACTTGTTTCTACTGATAACATCCATGACCCTGGAGACCTCTGGATGACCCCTGGATGACCTCTGGGCCTTGATAGCTAAATGTGACGGGTCTGCAGGTGTTTTACCTTCTCGACCAAAAGGTGCAGCTGTCGTGAAACATGAATTATCAGAGTTTTATCAATACTTAATCAGGCGCAGGCAAGCAGAGGCACGCACACACACAGACGCACACCTGCAAACACACGCACGCACACATGCACACACACACACACGCAGACACATGCGCACACACACACGCACACCCACACATGCACACACGCACATGCACACCCACACATGCACACACGCAGACACATGCGCACACACACACACGCACACATGCAAACACACACACACATACATGCACACACATGCACACCCACATATGCGCACACAGATGCACACATGCAAACACACGCACACACACATGCACACACAAACACGCACACACGCAAACACACGCACACACACATGCACACACGCACACACATGCAGACACACTTCTAGTGAATTTTCAAGACCATGCAGATTGGGTTCTCTGGAAGAAGTACACAGTCTGTATTTCAGCGACACGTTTCTCAGGAACTCAGCGACTTTGTTTCCAGAGACGCTTCGCTGAACGTGTCCGTTGGAGATATTTTATTCTCACATGTTTGTCTTTTGGAGGATCTGAGCGTGGTTGGTATTCAGGTACTTTAAATACCAATACTACTCTGGGAAGATATTCCATTGTGTGTGGTTAAAGTTAGCCGATTGTTCCCACTGTGCTTTATTGTGAAAGCTTTTTGATTATTTTGTCATTGTTGTAACTTTACCGTAATATTTACACAGTTGGCACGGTTATTTCTTATTACACCTGACCCCTAATTGCTCCCTGGCAAAAATGTAAAAATCCACGGGTTAAAAATGCAATATTAGTCGCTTTGGATAAAAGTGTCAGCTAAATTACTGTAATTTAATGTAAAGAATTTTGAAGTTGTAAAAGCAGCTTCTTCACCAACACACTTGGACTTCACACTCATTTCAACTGTCAATCAACCGAAGCTGCAGACGGATGGTCGGGGTTTCCCTCCCTGTGCAGGTTCACTTCCTTGTGCTCTGGTTGTTGCTTTGACTTTGTACCTGTTTGTAATTCCTTGTTTGCACTCATCCTTCTTTTATTTCCCCTCCACAGAGAAGCTGCATGGCTTTACTGTCTCTTTTACTTCCTGGTGTCTTCAACCTGAGAAATGTTCAGATTAAAGTGATGAATGCTGCTGTCGTCACATCGCAGGTGTTAAACCTACATGTTTATTTGCAGGTGAGAATCCGCTCTGCTGACTTTACTTCATTAACACTAACATTAACTCTGTTAATGTGTCCGGACACGACTGAGCTCAAAATGTTCCTTCAATGTTCCTTCACAGGGAACGTTTTATCGGATATTCCCACCTGATCTCATCACCGATCGTCATGTAGAGAAACCTCCTGCGTCACCATGGCGACGGCCGCCTGTAGCGCGGCGGTTTGCGTGTGGTGAACGATGTGAAACGCTTAACGCGGTAACGAGTGGCTTGTGTTGTGAAACTCTTCTCGGTTTGATTTAAGCAACGAAACTAAGGACAAAACGGATGTAACGTGACGTAGGAGACGAACGAAGCGTCACAACCAAACAGTTCAGAAGCCGCTTTCCTTCTGCGCTCAACACGAACGCACGTAGTCTTTTCAAAAATGAACTTCCTGTATGAGAACAGGTCCCCTGAGTGTGTACTTCTGCCAGTACTACTTCTGTTGCACAAGCTGTACTTATGAAACAGAAGGATTTACGTTGAACGTGCGTTGTGTCACACAGACAATGACAGGTGCATTGTGGGAGTGAAACCAGGCTGGATAGACATTAACTGTAAGATAATTACATCACATCCAAGTACCGAAGCAGCATATTTACTACAGCAAAAAGAAAAGTTGAAATCCAAGTAGTACCTGCAAAATGTGCTTGAGTGTGTTTAGCGGTGACCTTTGACCCCTCCACCACACAGGATGTTGCCGGTCAAAGATTACGAAACCGTTGTTGCATCACTTTGCTTCCACTTGTGACTCAGTTGCATCAGTTTCTACCTGAATGACAAAGCATCTTCCCTCTCATACTCACTGTGTGTGTGTGTGTGTGTGTGTGCGTCTCTGTCCCCGTGGTCTCTGTCCCCGTGGTCTCTGTCCCCGTGGTCTCTGTCCCCGTGGTCTCTGTCCCCGTGGTCTCTGTCCCCGTGGTCTCTGTCCCCGTACTGGTCCCGTCCTGTGTGTGGGGAGCGGTTTCACTCCGGTGAAGTCAGCTTGAAAGCTGCTGCTGTGATCGACGCGATCGCTTCCTGGAACAAAGAAAGCAGGTCAGTGACATCGACCTTTGACCCCGAGAATAAACTGTACTGTGTCACCGAGTCATATTGAAACTCCTCACTTCTGCTTCCACTTCAAGGGAGAACCAACTGTACTTGTTCACAAGAGCGCTTTGGAACAAAATGTGATGACAAACAGGCGGTTTAGTTATTCTTCTATAAAATGACGTTGGCGCTGGAGAGAGACGTAGTTTATGTGTTAAGTACAGTTTCTTTACTTGATTTGTTCCTCTGACGCCACGAGTTCACTTCACTGAATTAAACAGACACCCTTAGTTACTCTTCAAATTCAGATTTCTGCTCACACGACATAAAAAATCAGAAAAAGAGAAACCTTTCATCACGACTGAAAGGCTCCTTTTAATCTTCTAACACATCAAAGTAATAAACATAAAGTAATTATGTTCTGGTAAAAAATACACAAAGCTCAGAATGAGCAGAATGTCTCCTTGGACCTTCGTTATTTGACCCTTAAGGAAAAGGACGTTTGCTCCTGGAGATGAAAAACTGTGAGAGTTTGCAGTTGGGAGAGAGAACGCGGAACCCACGGAACCGCAGCTCGCCCCCCTGCGTGCCTGGTCCTGGTCCGATGTCTGCTCCGTGTGTGGGACCATGTGGGGTCCGTGTCTGGTCCTGCTTCCAGCCTCCCCATCACACCTTTTTAATCAAAGCAGACGAGTGTTCGTGCATCGTGGTTTTGACCGGAGCTCAGACGTGATGAAGCAAGAACGTTGCTACAGAAGAAAGCAGCGGCCTTCATTGTAACGCCGGTTCTGATGTGAGTGAGCAGCCTTGTTGTCACCATGGAGGAGGGCGACATCTTTAAGGACGACGTAAGAGAGAAGCGCTGAAGGCGTGATACCTCTGCATGTTCCAAACCGGCATTAACATATCAGGTGTGAATCGTGAAGCGAGTTGAAACGTTTCCCTCCGTGAAGAAGCCGCGCCCCATCGGCTCTTATTTCTGACTCCTTGAACCCTTTGGATGAAGCTTTGCTCCACAGCGATCAGCAGCAGACGTTATCATAACACACTTTTGGGGCCAGGCGTTTGCTTTCATCAGCTCTTCACCCCAGACGGGTGGGGTGAAACTGGAGCTGTCATATGAAGCGGAAACGAGGCGAACCGGGGGTCACGTGACTCTTGTCGTTTGTTATATGGAGGCAGGAGGGTGGAGTTTATTGCTTCAGGCAGATTACCTGCTAATTAGCCACGAATAACTGAGAAGTCGGTTGAACTACAACATCCAATTGTTTCTGTTGCTTCTCTGCTGCTCTTCTCGTCGAGGTCGTAGCTTCTCGCTGTCTCTCCCCACGTGTCCAGTCTCGTCTCCGTGCCTCAATCGGGCATCGGATGTTCTCAGGGAGCTCGTGTTCCTCTCAGGAAGTCTTCAAAGAGCCTGAAGGGTTTGTATCCTTGTGGTTCAAATGCACTTATTGGAAGTCGCTTTTCTGCTCTTTTCAAAATAAACCTCCGTCCTCACAGGAAGCTATAGTTAGGTTTAGCAAAATAAAGTGAAAGTAACGAAGTACTGACAAATAAAGCTGACTTCTCTTTCCTGTTTTGAATCATTCAGTCTGAAAGAAGACACGTTAAGGAAGCCGAATAAAAACAACGTAGTGTCTCATCTTAATTTAAAGTATTACATGAAGTCCGTAATCCTCTTTAAATCCTCTTTGTAACGTGGATCACAAGCAATAACTTCAACAGCAACTCCACTATTTGCCACAAAAAGGACGCCATGCCGGTGACATTTGCAATACATATTTTTAATTGACAAATTATCAAAAACAAAAGTTGACAGCAAGTGCTCGTTGGCAGTAGTGGTGCAGTAGAACTTGACGGCCTCCAGAAGAAGAAGGAAGATTCCAACTCAATGAACCAGGAGCGCGTGAACGCCGGCGTCCCTTCAAGCGCGTGACTCCGCCCACAAATCAACAACGTGGACCTTCTTCCACCAAACGCACGCCATGAAACTTCCACAGCGTGACAGAAATGTGCCGCATGAAATATTGTGGCCGACGGCGGCGAGGCGTAAAGATAAGCCGAAGCTAACGGGACGTTTAGCGTTCAGTCGCCACTCAAATACTGAGGAGCAGTTTCCCTGTTTGATGAAGTTCAAAACACCCGGCAAGACGTCTCACGTCGGGAAGGTCCAGCCGACAGCAAGCTAACGCTATCGAGCTAACACCCCAAAAACAAATCCTACTGAAACTACTAATAAACAGTCCGTCTAGGGAGGCATTCGGTGTGACAAACATACGCACGGTCGATGCAACAACCGAGACTTTAGGAAGAAAAATGTTGATCTGCTGCTGATACGAGAATCGGGAACGCCAACGTCCCGTTGTAACACGCCTGTACGCAGGTGTGTAGCACTACACGTCTGTACGCAGGTGTGTAGTACTACACGTCTGTATGCAGGTGTGTAGTACTACACGTCTGTGCATAACCAAGCTTCGTGTACCCTGTTTCTTCCCCCATAAGGCTTCAAGCTGAAGCTAGCAGTTAGCGGTTAGCATTTAGCAGCCTGGTCCTTTGTGGCTGAGTACGTTGGACTCGTTTAACTGTAACACTGATCTGATCGGCACACTCAGTTATCAATATGGGGGATACGTTTGCCTGCCACCAATTATAAATGTATTGAGAAAAGTAAGTAATCATCTACATGAATGAATGATCATATTGTAATTTGGTACAGTGCTTTTTTTAATATAAATAATAATCATAATGATGAACCCTGCCTGCAAAGTACATTTCCCTTTTGTAAATGCTGCTGCTGCCCGACAGCAAAGAACCGGAAACCTCGACATGGCGCTCAGGTCCTGAGTGGTCAACAGGTTCCCGTTGTGTAAAGGACAAGCAGACAGAGTCGCACAGTAGTTACTAAATAAATATACAACGCTTAATACAACAATAAGCACAAAAGACAGAGTCCTTTCCTTAGAGTCTTGCCGTGTAAAACCTGCTTTGCCTGTGCACACGCACACGCTCCATCGTTCCTTTTCAGGGGCACTTTTAAATGACGAACCATGTTCACCTTAAAAATCTTCCTTTGGTACAAAACGTTCTCTCTCATCTATTCAAAACACCAGTAAATGAAAATGTAAATGTTTTCTTTAGTGCGACGGCTTCTGTCCTCGGCAGAGACGGTTCGTAATGTTCAAGTCAAACCAAACTCTTTCCCGTCCGGCCCTCCGCGGAGCGGGAGGCCCCCAGGTCTCTAGCAGCTTCGTGGAGAGTCATTGAGACCGAGGAGCCCCCCCCCCCCCCCCCCCCGAGTGGCGTCCACGAGGAGCCGCAAGGCGTCCTCCTCGGGGGCGCTGAGGCTCCACCAGTCCGTCCATCGTGTGTCTCACGGGAGCGTCCCCCCCCCGGCGTCTCACAGGTGACCGGCACAGTGCAAGTGGTCGAGGGTCAGATGTCCTCCGTCGAGAGGCGACAGCGTGGAGATGGAGGTGGACGAGGAGTAGGTGGTGGAGGTGGAGGGGGTGGAGGAGGTGATGGCGTGGAGCTGCAGGGCGCTCTCCTTGATGTGCTGGAGGAAGAGGTTCCTCTCGTCCTCGGGCGTCTGGCCGTTCTGGGCTCGGACGATGCAGGTCGGCCGGTGCAGGTTGAGCATGTAGACCAGCTGCTGCTTCTGCTGCTTCAGCTCCTCGATCTGAGCCTTCAGCTCGCTGTTGACGCTCTCCAGCTTCTCCGACTCCTGCGGGAGGGAGGGGGGAGGGAGGGAGAGAGGGAGGGAGGCGGGAGATTAATGCTGCGCTTCGATGGTGGTCGTTAAAGCTTTTTAGTTGAAGGAGAAGCATCTCTGAACCTAAACTTTACTTTTTAAATGCTCAGGTATATTTAATCTCATGTTGTATCACGTTTCTCCTCCTTGGGCCAGACAGGTGTGTGTTTTTCTACCTGCTGCAGAGTCTCCGTCTTCTCCTTCTTCTTGTTGCGGCACTTGGCGGCGGCGACCTTGTTCCTCTCTCGCCGCCTCTTCCTCCTCTCCAGCTCCTGAGGCGTGACCTGAAGACCAGGGAGCAAAATGTCAGCGTCTCAAAGCCCCCACGTGCCGCCGCCCTGAAGCCCCCGTCTCCCCCTTCCCCCGTCTCCCCCCTCTCCTCACCTCTCTCTTGACGCCGGCCCCCCCGGCCCGGCCCTCGGAGGCCCGGTCGGAGCTGGAGCTGGCCCCGTCGGAGCTGGTCTCTCCGCGCAGGCCGTTGAGCAGGCGCTTGGTCTGGATGGCCGCACGCAGCTCCTCCTTCACGAAGGGGGTGAAGGTGGCGAAGTCGTCCAGGGTGAGCGTGCCGGGCGGCGAGAGGCAGGGCACCAGGGCGGAGCAGCTGATGTCGGCCAGCGAGGGACCCGGGTGCTGCAGCATCATTCTGGGCAAAGAACAGAAGGAGAATCAACTGGCTGTCGGGATAATCGGCTGAAAGACGAAACAAATGATACACAAGAAGGAGAGAAAATACCATATAAGTCATAATAACGTATTAATATTACAACATTTATGAAGATATAGAGATAAAATAAAGAAAATACACTCAACTCAGCGTTACATAAGTTCATGTTGAGGACACTTAACATGAACATCATAATTAACCTAAGTCGACTAATAATTATACAGCTCATAAATATTACACAACAAGAACAACATGAAAACAGTCAAGACGGCCTTTCATCTGATGTAACATTCAGGAGGGGGGGGGGGCAATTCAAAACATCTGATGGAGAACCGCGACAACCGCATATTTGCCCTTTTGGGGCGTAAACAAACCATTAAAGTGTGCAGACGATGAGAGCAGAACAAAACGTACGTTTAAAGTTCCCTGTGATTTGTAACGTTTGTATTTGATTCACGTCATGTTGCTCAGCTTCGTAGTTTTATAAGTGTCATCATTTAAAATACATTTGTTTTCATTTGAACTTAACTTCTAAATCGGCATCAGCTGCGGGGTTTAAAATAAAAAACTGAAAAATACTTTAACTTTTAACCTCCCTGAATGATTCATAATATCATCATCATCATCATCATAAGTTCATAAGCTTCATGATCACAAACTACCGAACTGTGAGACACAAAACCAGGTGGGACAACTTTAGAAGTTTGCGCGCGGTGTCCCGGGACAGCGCCGGGGCGCCTCCGCTGGGCTCCCGGGACTCCGCCGCTCGGAACCGACCAACCAGCCCCCCCCCCGTTACCCTTCACCCCCCCCCTCCCCGGGCGTCCCGGCCAACCTTGACAAAAAGAGGGGGGTTCTGGGGTAATCGGGCAGTTGGAGTCGCTCCTGTGGCCGCGGTGCGTAAAGTTGCGCTTCTGTCCGGTGCGATTCATCGTTCCGTCTGTAGAAACGCTCGTTCTCCAGCGCCGACAGGCAAGACCTTGAAAACGCTACCATCATTGAGGTACGATCCAAGGATAGATCTAGTCGGGGCGGGGTGTGGAGCGAGAGCAGAGGGTTGACGTCACCCTATTTATAGAAGGCTTATCCTGCGATGATGCAATCGAGCAACCCCGAGCTGCTCAGCCCTGTTAGGGCTTCCTCCTTCCCCCTTCCTCCTCCTCCTCCTCCTCCTCCTCCTCCTCTTCCTCCTTCCTCCTCCTCCTCCTCTCCGAAGGCTTCCTTCCTACCTCCTCAGTCGTTTCCTCTTCCTCCTGTCTCCTCTTCTGCAGATCACTTCTTTCCTTCATCACGATCCTTCTTTCCTTTCCTCTCTGGTTTTTCTCTTCCTTTATCTGCACTTATTTATTTTTTAGTCCCTTCCTCCTTCATCTTTCTCTCACTTCATCTGATTTCTTCCGCACCCTCCTCTCTTTCCTCCCCCTAAACCTCACTCTCAAAACTCAGCTGAATAAAATGTCCTCTTTGTAGATACGAACCACATTTGTTGTTGTTAAAATAAGAACATAACCTTGTTGTGACCCCCCCCCCCTCCTCCCTGCTTTGACACTGACATGGATTTCCATTCCAGACGTTCCTCACTAACGAGGGAATTATGCTCTTCAAGGGGAGTTATTTATTCTGTGGTTACACATCATCAGTCGGGTACAAAGGGACGAGCGGAGACGGACAGAGAGACATTGAGACGGACAGACAGAGAGACGCAGACAGACGGACACAGTCGTGGTATAAATGTTTCCTTCTTGACTACTCGTATTAACGCTTAATCACTTGATCTCATTTACTCGTCCGCTGAGACGATGGAGGATTTCCTGAGAAGCGTTTCCACCTTAAAAATACACCTTTATTACCATTGGGACTGGTGCTTTGTCCACAATAAGCCAGTATTCAGCAGTACTAGTGGTACTATGTGTACTGGTAATGGTGGTTTGTTGTGAGAGACAATGTCCACTGTGCCGTTATTCATTTATTATACATTTCAGCTCCTTGTTTTCTTGCGTACACGCCGCTCATAACTATCAACAGGAAGTTGGCATCATTGGTTCCTCCCTTAATCAGCCAATGGGAGTCTTCCATGGGATTTAAAATCACTGCAAAGAAACGTCTTTCTGTCTCCGTCCCGCACGCTGCCTCTTAAGACTCGGATCATACGAGCTGATATCAAACTCGTTCCTCTTTCTTTCTTTTCCTCGCTCCATCGCTCGTTTCCCGTCATTTCCCGCAATCTAGAAACTTCCAGCTGAACTTTCGCTTTCGCCAAATACAGTTTTTTCTCAGAAGCTTGACAAGGAGTTTTGAAATTGTGAAACGTCAAGATGAGCCGTCCATTTGTGGGTGTCATAAGTGCTTTACTCAAAAAGAATTGTACAACAGGAAATATGACCGATGTTGAAACTTCCATCTCTCCCGTGTGTGTGTGTGTGTGTGTGCGCGGCTTCATGCGTTGTTTCTAGGGAGGCCTTGAGAGGCGGATGAAAACGCCTCCATGGTGACTTTCCATTGGACGAGCCTCTGTGTGTTCAGATGTTCACCGTGAAACCGTTAATAATCCACCAAACAGACTTTCCTCCCTTCCAGTGGAAACCTCTAAACACACAAACAGCTTCGCCTGCTGCTGCCCGAGCAGATCCAGCTTCAGAATGTGTCAGAAAGCTGAAACAGCTCCAGAAGCTTCACACTTCAGTCGTCCACAATTCATGACATTCAAACAATGAATGTAGGTGATTCATAAATGATGAATGAGGTCTTTTCAAACAGTCATTTCAGTGGTAAAGCCATTTTTCCACCTCAAAGGTGCCTTTAAACGTTCTTGTCAATTGTAGATTTGAATATCTCCCCCTCCCTCCCTCCCTCCACTCCCTCCCCCTCTCTGCTGGCAGACAGGTGGGTGTTGAAACCTTCAGGAGGTCAGTGTGGCGGCCGGATTGATGCTCCCCGTCACTGCTGACCCGGTTAACTATTAATACCACATGATCGAAGCGCTAACCCGCCGGCTAAATATCACATTCTCTATTTGTATATTTGAGGGGTTTTCATACCGAGCTCTGTGTGTGTGTGTGTGTGTGTCTGTGTGTGTGTGTGTCTGTTTGTATGATTAAACAGTCATTGCATTTTAATATTTGTATTATATTATGTGAGATTTGATTCATGATGTCCATGACATGACAGCTTAATAAATATTAGAGTAGAGATTGAAAGATGAAAGTGGGAGTTGATGTGGATGTAAAACTTTTTATTGTTATTATTATAGACACACAATTCCAGAAACCAAAAATGTCGGTTAATAATAACAGTTTCATGTGTCCGGTTATTTGACCTTTTAAAGTTATGTTTCCCTCCTTAAAGTAAATCATGCTTTATTGTGTCGTATCAGTTTTGAACCTTAGTCTCAGATAAACTGCAGATTCCCGACTCAAACCGGCGGAGCTTTAAGTTTCACTATGAGGCACCGGAGGATTTCTCATAAAGAGAATCGGCTCTCAGTAGAAGGGAAAGTGAAAAGAACAAGAGGCCCGTCGGCTCCTTTCACGCCACATCCGGGTCGGATTAGTTTGGGAACCATGCGAGTCTTCAACAACTTTTAGATTATATTATTTTTATTCACACACACACACACACACACACACACATACATACAATATATCTAAATAAGGCCACGTGTCATTTTGTTCAACTTAATAAATCAAGCTTCCATGATTCTGTTGTTGTAATAAACACACAAATGCATTTCATCTGCATTAGAAACAATCGTATAGTAAACAGAGATGCTTTAGCCACCAGAGGTCATCCTCATTGATCACCAATATCCATGTAATTAATTACTTCATTTTTATTCACATTCATCTCTCGGAACATGCAGTTGTTACGCTACGTCGTTAGCTACGTCGTTAGCTGCGTCGTTAGCTACGTCATCACACTACTTTGGAAGTGTGTGCAGACAGTGGTCAAGTTAATTATCTGCCTCTTCATATACATTAGATTAAAAACAAAGGATTTGTTTCTCTCTTATTGTTTCTCTTTGCTATGTTTTGCATTTCCAAATGAGTCTGCAGCCTTAAAGTGTTCTGGTAGTCAAATAAAAGTGCTGATGGAGATGATGGTAAGTGTTGTCGTTGAAGAAGAGGAGGATGAGGAGGCTTCCCGTTCCCCCCGGTGTCTTTTCCCGATTCCCTGCTGTTTGCCCGGTAAAGCCACGAGGAGGATGAGAGGCATTATTTCCCGGAAAGGAAGAGGGTGACGTAATCCGCTCCTGCTCAGAATAAAAGGGGAGGAGGAGGAGGAGGAGGAGGGGGAAGAGGAGGGGGAGGACAGAGGAGCTTTTGTGGACCCCTGGCAGCTAAAGGGGGAAAATAATAATAAATTAATTAAATATAACATTAAATCAAATATATAAACTAGATTGATAATGCTAGATTATTAAATAGGAAATGTTATTACTATTAATGTATATAATATTTTTCATTATAAATATATTTATATTCATATAATATCTATAGTGATTATAATTTGAGTAATGGAGTACTACTGCAGCTTGCTACAGTATCTTTAAAAAAAAAAAGGTTTTTATTTTTTACCAGTTTATTAATATTATTTCAAATATTATAAATATATTTATACTAATATAATATCTACAGTGATTATAATTATGTAATGGAGTACTACTGCAGCTTCTTTGAAATTTATTTTATACCACTTTCTTAAATTTATTATTAGTTTCCTCACTCTCGTCCTACTTGATCCGTCCTGCAGGTCCAGGTTTTTTCTTTTTTTCCGAGAAATTTCTCCTCTCCCCCTCCAGTGTTTCCACCGCGGGGGTTTTGGATAATCCCCCCCCCCCCCCCCCCCCACTCCTTTCTACTCTCCCCCTCCCTCCCTCTTCTCTTCTTTCCCACCACTTCCCTCCACCTCCAGCATCACGCCACCGAGGGAGCGGTGTGAACGTTGGTGGATGGAGGGATGGAGGCAGGAATGGAGGGATGGATGATGTGTCTGTTTACTGACCACACTAATGTCGTAAACACGTTGTAAATGTTCTATCGGAGGGATCCTTTTCCCTTCGAATCCGAGGTGATTCATCCGCTGAGAACAGTGCGGCTCTGTGACGGTCCGATGCTGCTTCCAGAAGACTCCTTATTTACACGTATCCATGTCACTAACGCACTCATCCTCATTCTGAGGGGAAACCTTATATGCTTCAGAAAATCCTCATTGTAACATCCATTATTTCCAATAAATATGCATTGCTTAATTTGATCTGATTTGGTCAGATGTTATTGTACTTCATTTGATTTAGTTTGTCTTGTCCCGTTATGGTATTTTATAGTTTCATTGTGTGTGGTTATTTCTGTTCATCTTCGTCAGTTAAAAAAAGTCATGTGACTTTTAGCATTTACATGAATGTGTAAAGCAAACATTTACCTTTTGCTTTCATTTATGAGTCACGCCCTCTTTTGTACTTTGTCCCTCAGTTCTTCTTTTGTTTCAAACATAAGCTCATTTGTCCCTTCTGACGTCTCTCAGACGAGATCACGTGTTCATATTTTTCAGCGTCTCAGTGAGAGCAGAGACAAAGGTCACAGCGGAGCGATAGCGATTCACCATAATCAGTCAAGACATCAAAGTGATGAGTCAGGGTTGTGAACTGATGAGTCAGCATCGTCACATGAGGCAGGATGCTGTTTGTCCTCCAACTGTTTGGGCACTTGGACTATATTAATTTGTTTATCCGAATAATCTGGTTTCTTAAGTCATATATTCAGAT